CATCCATTATTTTCTTTACGTTAATGTATATTGATTTAATCTTCTAACTTCCTTCCTTGGCAATGTTAATACAATCTATAATGTAGCAATATTGAGTCCTTGAAGATTTTAAAGGTTGTACTCTAGTAATTCATATGAATATACAAGATAAGAACTGTATAGTCAATCAATGTCAATACTGACAATATTGATTACATTTAATAAAAATTTTAATGTACTAAATTGCTGATCTGACAAGATTGAATTATTCTAACAAATGATCAACAAGACTAGAACAGTGCACTCAATAATCTTATGATTATTAAAATTGACATATTTGTTTACATGAGGTTACTCTTTCTTTTTTATTGTTTAAGTGGATATGAACTAGTTTTAACTAAGTTTTAAACTAGGTCATTTATTTTAATGAATACATACATTAATAAACAAATTTAGTTTTCATTACGGATAATATTTGACTCTATATTTCGAATCTTGGCTTAAAGTATAATATATTTATTTTTATTTTATTTGACTGTGAATGGATAGAAATGAGAAATATTGTTATGGAATATGTAAATTAGGATATCAGTTTAAAAGAAAAAGAAAAAAACTTCTTCAAGTAAAAGCACAGTGCATAGGTTGATGACAAAAAAATTGACAACGTAGGACAAAGAAACATACAAACAGAAAAAAACCGGTTGTTCTATAAGTAAGCAGAACAATAGATGTCTTACTCATTTTCCCAACTTTGTTTTATATTGATATCGGTATAGAAGAGTAATATCAGTCGTGAATAGATGCAAGAAGAAAGGTTATGATTAAAAGACAGGTTAATCTCCCCCCAGGTAAACAATTTTGAGATTGATAGTGAAACAAAAACTGAGATATGCGAAGAAAAAAAAAAGTTAAGCTCTAGATGCATTATTTTTCTCTGTTTAATAACGACCACCACGTACGGATCGATTTGGAGGTCGAGGAGCAGCATTGTTACCAAAACCACCGTTTGAACTAGCGTAATTGGCAATAGGTGTACGCATACTACCACTACCCACTGCACCTCCCATACGTTGCTGTTGTTGTTGTTGCTGTTGAGTTCCCATTCGATTAGAATTTTGAATTGGTCTTGGTTTATTTTGAATATTAACACATTTTGGAATATGTCGTTCAGCTACTCCTGGTGCATAATTACGTCCACAATGTGGACATTGAACGTAATCAGGATTATATGATGGGGGTGGTGGTGGTAAATCACGTAGACGACCGCCTATCACATACACATATATATATATATTTTATTTCACATTGTTCATTTTTTCATACCTGCTTGCTCATAACTAGATGCTTGTTTAGCATAACGAATAGCTCGAATAAAATCTTCATGTTTTTGTCTCCAATTTGATTTTGGAATCTAACATAGTATAGTCAAGAAGATTTTTGATTTGAATTGATTATGATAAGTAGTCTTTACCTGTGGTTTAGCAGGTTCATTTCGACCTTTAGCTCCTTTTCCTTTCCGAAAAAAACTTGCTGCTTCTGTTCCTTCTATTCGTTGTTTAGTCGAATCAAATACACGACGTTGTTTTTGAGCTTTTCTACATGCTGATTCATGTTGTTGAATACGATCACTTGCAAATTTACGATTGCACAAAGAACATGGATAAAGACCACCGCTACCCCCTGAGTAACTATTATCTTCATATGTCTCATATCCACCACCACCACCACCACCACCACCACCTCGTGATGAAGAAGCAATTGGCGTACCTTCAAAATCATCTAAATAATCATCAAATATATCAGAACTATATAAGAATCATTGACATAATATATATTTATTATGCATACCATAGGAAGCATTTCCTTTTTGTTGTAAAGATCGATCTCCCATTCGTCCGGGACCACTACTAGGACCAGCAGCAGCCTAAATTATATTGAATAGAATCTATGTTAAGTTTAAAAATATATAACAAAAATAAACATACACCAATTGATTTAGCTGCATTGCCTGGTTTACAACTTCGTTGATGAACTTGAATACGATCAGAAGCAAATTTACGTCCACAATTTGGACATGGAACAAGTTGAGATTTTGATGCTTCATAAGCTGCATCATTGATTTGATCGAGTGAGTAATTTCCACCACCTTTATGAATCAAGTTTTAGATATACACGTAGAGAGAGAGAGAGGGAGAAAGTCGAAAGCTAAAAATAGCGAAACTTACTACCAATATGAACATCAGGTTTACGAGGTGCAGGTCGACGTAAATTCGGAGGTAATTTAGCATTTTCAATATGCCATTTTTCTAAACATTGAGGTTCATGAATTTCAATGGATTGCGTACCATATTTTCGTCCACAAATATAACATAGAACAGATTGAGGCATCGCTGGTGGACTTCCATTGCCTCCCTATATTCAATAATTCATATATACATATGAAGTTTAATGATGATAATATTTTTATTTTTGACAATACTTACAGGCGCATTTTTATATAAATGATCATATTCACCATAACCAGCACCACCCGTTGTCTTTTGTTGTCTGCCAACATTACGAGCTTGTGGCGGAGGTGATTCATCTTCATATCGACTTGGTGGTCCTCTATAATAAATATATTCACTATTTTCTTGTTCATTAAATACGCAAATAATTAGATAGTCATACCGTGCGACAGGCTGTGGTCGTCCCATTGATCCATTACCTGTATTAACAGGTGTTCGATTATTTGGTGATGCTGCTGGACGACCAGCTTTAAAAAGCAAAGAGGAATATTATTAACACAATTTAAGACTAGTATATTTTTAAAAAAATGTAATTTTTACCAGGTCGAACGCTTGGTCGACCGAACATGAGTAAAATAGATTAAATTCTAATGCAGATGATAAATTATCAGATTTCAAAATTTTTATCAAAAAAACAAGAAAACAAATATTAGCTATTTTGGTTTCAATACACCCTCGAACAATACAAGATATTCAATTACATCAAAGAAAACAACGAGCATATACGCATACTAATCCGATATAATAATCATCGTTTTTACTTGTCTGTTGCTATGCAACTACCGTAGATTTTAATTAAGATATTATATTTAAATATATTGAAAATTTATTATCAAATTTTGTTCAATAAAAATGAAAAAAAAAGATAATTTATTTATTTTTCTATATAATTGCTTTATAGTTCAATAGAGGACGCTTTCATGCAAGGTTGTTTTAGTTCAATATCGCAAACAACCTTAATACGATCATTATCTGAAGAATTTTAAAACATCTTGATTTATTATAGTATCATAAAAAAAGACTTTTTATAATATTATTTATCGTTTGTGATACTAGAAAAGTTCTTTTTTTTTATACAAACAATATCTAGTCTAGACTGATCGTGTAAATGAAAAGAAAATATCTTTTGTATTTCATTAAATTATATATTCGTACAATTTTGTAACCTATTAACTTTAACATTTCAATTTGGTATAATATAAAGAAAAGGGTAACCTATGTGTCTTTTTTTTTTGTAATACAAATGACGGTGATAAACGACAAATAATTGTACACGTTTTTTTTCCATCAAGCTTTAATTTGTCGGTCGAAAAAAGAAGACTTTGAAATCATACGTATCCTTAAACTTAAGGTTACCAAATCTTCTATCGATGTAAAACCTTGAATTTCTTGTTATTATACGGTAAACTATTTGTTATTTGGTATGTAATTATTTTATTGTAGACAAAAAACTGCATCATAGAATAAAAATAGTTTAGTTTCAAATATATGAGAATACATTTGTTTTGCTCATTATTTATACTGAACATGTTCTTATATATATATTTACTTATTTTAAAGTGCTGACAATAGTTTGCCTATTGAATAGGAAGAACGTATATAATCATAGGACCAATGACTAAAATACATAATTAATGAAGATTTGTAATCGCATGGACAGATTTATATTGAAAGTAAATAATACATATATAAGCGGATACGCCATTTTCAATCAGTTGTTAAGACAGGCATGTCAATATAGCTTTTGCTTCTATTATATTGTCGTTCTTTGCATACCCTATATAATGTCGACGATGACAACGGCCACGCCGGCGACAACAACAACTCTTTCACTTGTTATCGATTTTTAACCTCATCTATTGACGCTTTCTTTCTGTCGACTATAGGTCTCTTACTTGATTATTGTAAACATGCTTGTACTTCACGTCTCATTTTCTATTTTCTTTTTTGTTTCCTATTCCCTTTTGCTACTTCTATTACTTTTATCATGCCATAGATCAATGGATATTATGTAGTTAGAGGATAAATGTCACGACAAATCATTGATTCATAAGCTGTTGACGAGTAAATATCGATGTTCGAAACATATTCTTCTCTTCAATAAACAACATTTTATGACAGCAACAAGTAAGTATTAGTTGTATAGATAAAAAGAATTATTATTTGTTAGATCTCGTTCAGATGAAATATACATTTGTATACTCTGTATAATACAACTGTAGAGAAGGGAGAGGGCGTTTGGAATAATGGGTTTTTTATTGAAATTTACTCGTTTGTTCACTTTTATTATGATTTCTTTCTTTTTATTCATTGAATTTAAGAAGAAAAAGAAAAAAAATAATCCCATAAAAAAAAAAAGTAATAGATGCCATGAAAAATGGTAAGTATAAAAAAAAGAGAGAACGTGAGTACAATATATGTATATTTATATATATATATATGACGAAAAAAAGGAAGGTAATAGTATATGCATGTCCTGCTGTCAGTCGATTCGCTTGAACTATAAACGTGTATAAAAGGCAATAATTATTCGCCCATCTAGTACCGTCATTCGTCTATTCTCAAAAACAATAACTACTATTTGATCGTAATTCACTATTCACTGCACAATTTTTACATATATATTAGGTAATTATTGTGTTCAATCGGATATAATCGGTAATAAGTTATGATATTTCATAACAATAAAGTAATAATATGTATCTTTCTTTTTCTTAACATTGCCTGTTCAGGTAATATCTGTTTTTTTTCAACATTCAGACAAATTATGACCTATTTTTGTCACACAGTCGATCTCAACCATGATCATATATATATATCATAAAGAGAAATCAAAAATTATCTTGATATAAGATCAAGATAATTGTTCAGATCAAATCATTGATGGACAATGTTCGTTTTGACTGTTCTATAAACTCAATAACGTAGGTATCATTTATATGAGTTGATATATATATGTCTACATGTTACTTCTGTCCTTGTAAGAACCAAGGAGCATCATCATCGTCATCATTATTAGTTTGATGATATCTTGACTGATCAGTCTTGCGTAATATATCGGCAAAGAGTTAATCCGAAATAAACGACTTTTTTTTCTGTTCTCATCGAACCTTCTTTCATGTAGTTGAGAAAAAAAAAAGTTGACGCTAAGTACTACTTCATACATCACTTCTGTATCTAATTTAATGATTGATATATGTGCGACCTATTTGATGGTGGATGAAGGTTGATCCTTTTTCATTTTTTGTATATGTTCAGGACATATATGTCTAAATGAGTCTATTTTTTCTCATTCATTTACATCTGTACTTGAGTTTTTAGATTCTAACACAGTTTGTGATAGACATATATACATTTACACTTATATTTATCGATCAGTAAGAACAACTTTCAAAGTAGTTCATATTACTAAACTATATTAAATGATGAAAATGGCCGGTCAACATCAACAATACTCACCACGATATCCTAGTCTATTAGTTACATTTAAACATAAATCAGAAGATAGAATAACATCTGACACTTATTCCAATCCACGAACACGTCGATCTAAAGACAATTATTATCCATTGTCTTTTCAATCAAAAAGTGTCTATTTTAATGGTAATCATCGATACCAACAGCCACAACATTTTATACAACGACCGCAAACGCCACCACGTCGTCAACAACAACAACAACAGTTTTATAATAAATGTGATCGTATTCAGCATCAATATATACAACAACAGCAGCAACCTATACGACCATTAATGGAAATCAAAGATAATTCATTTCCCTTACATAATGATATTGATTATGATATTGATGATGATGATAATGATAAATCTTGTCGTACTGTTCCACAAAAAGAAGCGAAACAACAACAACAACAGCAGCGTAGTCAATATCGTAACAGAAAAGCTGAATTAGATTGGGATCATGCATTTGATTTAGATCTTATTAATTTATATACAACACATATTGATACTGACAGTCATTCAGTAACAAGTACAATAAGTTCAACTGATACTTCATTTTCTTCTATCTAACAAAAATTCTTTATTCTTATTCTTATATAAGACATCAAATAAAATAAACATAAAAACGTCAAAGAAAAATTAATTTTTTTTTCTTTTGTACATTTTTTTTATTCTTTTAAGTGACCTTCGAAATATACGAAGAAAAAAAAATCAAGTGAATATAAACACTAAAAGCTTATCACAAATATCACAAACACAACAAACTAAAACAGTTTTTTTCTTTTTTTTTTAATTTTTTTTAACTATCACAGATTGTTTTTTTTCTGTTTTTTTCTTCTTCTTCTTCTTCGTCTTCTTTTTTCTATCAATTTATATATTTGAAAAAATCTTGACTAATAAATTAAATGAATGATAATCATTTGTTGTATCATTATCACAACCAAGCGACTGTAATTTTCTTCGTATACAAGCATTTAATTTTGTTCGCAATTTATATAAATTATTATCTGTTAAAATAATTTCATAATCATTCAATTTCAATGTATCATTTATTGTTCCAAAAAATAATAATACAATTTGTTCAATTATTGTACAAGATTTACTGACAAATAAACCTTTATTTGAACGTATTAAATCATCACAGATAGCAAAATAAATTTGATCGTGTTCATTCCATGGAATATTATTTAATATAGATATTCGATCAAGACTAACTAATTCATTCCGACTAATTTATAATAAAATAGATTCTTATTTATTTTTACAATATAAAAGTCTTACTTCGTTAACCATTTTTGATCATGCGTAATTAAATTCTGTGGTAAACAACGAACAAGAATTGCTTGAATAAGTGGCCAACATGATGCATTCTCATTTAAATTAATATGCTCTTCATTATTTGAATAGAAGAATTTTGAAAAATTTATATTTATTAAAAAATTAATTAACCATTTTCTATGAAGACAAAATAATGTTTTTTGTAGGAATTAAAATTTAATTCTTACTTAAATTGATCGATTTGTTTCATTCGAAAATATTTTATTTTCCAATCGATATAAAATTGCTTTTTATCAATTGATTGCTCCCATTGCTTAAATTACAGATATATAGATACAAGTATAAATTAAAAAAACTAAATTAGAAATCTTACTTGATATAATTGATAAAAAATAAAATGATCAGAGTTTTTGTTTGATGATAAACGTTGTTTTAATTTTAATACATCTCTTTGATTTGATATTGATTGAACTATAGGAAAAACAAAATTATTTTAACACCTTCTTTGTCAGATAAAAATATGAAATATCAAATAGGTGTTGTTAATGATAGAGAAAGACAAGTTTAATCGATTCGTATAGATCAATTTCGTCTATGCATGATAATCATATCGATTCATCAGTTAATATTCAACCAACAGTAAGTTGAGATACCTTAGTTTGTATATAATCTTATAGATTTTATATCAACTGATCTATAAAACAAAACACAATGAAGTACGTAGTCGAGGCTCAATCTGTCACGGTCTGCCTTAGGTCATTGTCGTAGTGTCTGTCACGATACGTGACGAAGCGTTGCTAATAGACATGTAACCTTATCATTACTCATTACTTATCATCGAGTTATTCCTTTGTAATAATTTCTTGTACCTCGTAATTAATAGTTACATTTATTTATTTCATTACCAATTATTAGTAATCAATAAACTCAATTATCGATTTTATCAATTAGTACTAGTCATTTGTACTTGAAACTATTGATATTATCATTTATACTTCATAACAAATTATGATACTATTGCTTTTTTACTCTTGATGTTAATGTCGTATTCTATATCGTAGAGTATATCTGTCAGAAATGCTAAGAGTAAATACACTCTTGCTAATCTTATAATTTAATTTCTGATTGAGTATATATTTAATAGAAAAATATTTACATGGATCACCCATAATTAATGTTGATATAATAATTAATATTGGTTGAAGACATTTAAAAAGATGAGCATAAACAATCATCATTGCATATGGTAATTCTACTACTGGTAATGCTAAACAATAAGCACCTAAATCTACAAGATCTTCCCATTTATCGAATAATTCAAGATTCTAAATGAAAAAGAAATTATTAAAAAATAAAATTAAGAAATCTATTGACTTTTAATTGAGAAATTCCAGCTCGAACAATAGCAAATGGTGGCGGAAATGGCAATTTTAACATAAATTCTGCAACAGAACAATTTGTCCAAGCAAATAATTTCGCTTGCATAATATTTTCCTTGAATGAAATAACATATTGAATTAGTAAGATATAAAACAATGATATAAACTTACAAGTAAAGGTTGTCGAGCCATTTCTGAATTGATATTATCATTAATTTTTTCATCAAATAAAAAATGAGAATAAAGTCGATAACAAATACCACCTTCTTCTATATTAACTCTAGAGAAAAAAAACAGTTTCAAATTTAATTATTTCTAATCAAATTTTCTTTTACCGATATTTTCTTTCGGTAGCACTTGTTTGACTTATCCAATTGTATTTCGGTAAAAATTTTGATGTTGTTGTATGATAACATTTCTTTTAGTATAAAAAAATGAAAATAAAATATAAAATATTTTTCGTTTTAAAAATTTACCTCGAGAGTTATGCCTGTATCAATAACACAAGTTATATTACGAAATGGTATACCTGTTTCACAATTAGCATCACAAAGAATCTAAATGAAGAAATTCATTTTTTAATTCAAATATCAAATGCAAACTTACTAATAATCGTGAACTATTATTATTTATCAATGACCATGACGATGAATTTAAAATCATATGAATATCTATTTTGAATCTATCGAAAAAAATTTATAAATTAAAAATTTTTTTCATCGATAAAACTAACTCATTTGAAATATTTGATATTAATAATAAATCATTCATTACATATATCTCATCTAATCCAGGTAAATATACCAAAATATGACCTTGAAAAACAAAATAAACATTATTTTAAATATATTATTTCAAATTATACCTGATTGTATTTGACATATATATTTTACAACTGATAAAATCAATTGATAATCGATAAGATCATTACATTTTCGTGTTTGTAAATAATATTTCATAACTGCGATTGTTGGCGTTATATTTGAATTATTATTTGTTAAACTTAATAATTGTTCCAATAGAAGCGAATCATGTCTAAAAATCAGTTTAAAATAAACATCATATATTATTAAATGAAATAAAAATAAAATATATCGTTTCATGCAATTTAATCAGTAATTTCTTTATGATATACACATGCATATTCCCATGAATCAATATTCTTTACTTTCTTCAGCAGATATACAAGCTAATCATGCGATTTCAACTTTTTATTTTTCCTTACCGTCTTTTTTCAACTGTTGATAAAATAAATATATATTTAAAGATAAAAAACTAATGTTTATATTGAATACTTACGTTATAGATGATTCAAGTAAATCAGTTATTTCATTAGTTGCATATTTCCGGGCAAAATCAATAGCAGAAAAATTATTTACAGCACGAAGATTAAATAATAAACTATCTATTGATAATAAATGTTCAATTAAAGGTTTTATACTCCACATTGATATACACATTAATGGTGTTACAAGTGTTAATGGATGTTGATGATTACCTTAAAAGAAATGTACGAATTAATACAAAATAAATGAGATTAACAGACAAGCTATTTGATTCATCTTATTTATCGTAATTCTATAAAACGATAGTCTGTGTAATCATTTCATAACAGTGCTCTATTCAGGATTTTACCTCCGAGGAATAAAAGGCGCAAGTCTCGGAAGGGCAATCACAGTGTTCGGGAGAGTTGGGCAACTCCAACTCCATCGATTTTTTTAAGGCTCCACTCCAACTCCAGATAAAAACGTGTCAACTCCGGAGTTGAAGTTTCTCATCTCTGATGGATATTTTTTGTTGTTCTCTTACACGCCATCAGATTCACCGGAGTTGGAAAAAAGCACCAACTTCAACTCCGGAGTTGGAGCTGCCCATCTCTAGTCTTTGGACGTGAAAAATATTCTATCTTGTATCAAAACCGGCATGATATATAGCTCATTAAATTATAGAGTCATCAAAAGAATAGGTTTCTGAAATACTCTATCGTCTATTAGTGTTGATGGATACCATCTATTTATCGAAGACAATAAAATACATTCTTACATTTATCTGGATATTGAGTAATAAAATTGATTAATGATTTAAAATCTTCAATTAAACCATTAATAAAACATCGTCCAATTAAATTATTCAAATATTTTTCAATTGTTGTCATATTTTGTTCCTATTTTAATTTAAACAAAGAAAAGAAAGTATATATTGAATTTTATCATCATTCAAATCCATACTAATAATGAATAAATATTTTGACATGGTTCACAAATAATTGATGATGATATTTTATGTTGAACAGATGATTGTTCTGCTGAATGACACCAATAATCTAATAATTGTATTCCAAAATTAACTAGAAAACATTAAATATATATGTATATAATTCGTCAAAAAAATTTATTGAATTCTTACTGATTGATAAACATTTATTTTGATCCATTCGTTGAATATCAATTAAAATTTGATCAAGAAATATTTCTTCAATTTTCTGATTAGCTATTTCATTCATATCAACTAGAAATAAATAATTTATAAAGTTAATTATCAATCTTTTTCTTTCAATACTTGTATATGTTGCAACATTTCCAAAATATTTTACTAATGTATCATATTGTATTGTTGTTTGTAGAAGAATTATTTTTAAATGTCGAAATTTATGTAATGTATCTTTTAAATATGCTAATAACATATCCAATGTATGTGATCGTTTATGTACATCATCAATAATTAAATGTGTTATAGATGATTTTAATAAATAATCTCCACTTATTAATGTATGTAAAAGAAGTTCATGTGTTGTTATTGTAATCAATGATGTTACGTTAGTAGTTAAAGCCCTATGATATAGAAACGAGATTTAAAAAATGAAGAAGAAAAATTATTTATACATATTATCAAATGTAAAACAATCGATTGATTTGTTTGATGTTGATAAAACATATGCCGAAAGATTATTGGTGCAACTATGTAAAATACGAATAGGCCATTGTTTATCGAAATGATCATCATTTAAATATTGATAAACCTAATTAAGAAAAAAAATTAGAAATTATTTAAAATATAAATCAAGAATTACTCGAATTGATTTTCCAATTGCTGGTGGTCCACTTAGGAAAATCATTTTATTATCTAAATAATCAAGATGGTTTTTGAATAAATTTTATTGTTTATTATTACTTTCGACGAGATGAAGTAGATTATCTCGTGTTGCAGTTTTATCAATTGGTAATAATTGATTAGAATATTCATGAGAAAGAAATCTTTGATCAGGTATTTGTGGTTTTATATCTGATAATTTACAAAGTGGATTACCCGAACGTAATAATGTACAATAAAACCAATCTAAAAGTAATCGAAATCAATATTTATTTATTAGATTCAAAATTATACCGTTAAGAGAACTTGGAGTTTTTTGTATTTTAGCTTGAAGTAAATCATTATCTTCAGCTGAAATCGGACATGATTGTAAATAAAGATTAACATCATTCATTAATTGTGAATTATTTAATGAAAATGTTATTTTTTTAGTTGAATTATTTGTTTCATTTGAAATTAATTCATTGGATACTTTTGAAACAGCAATTATACGTGATGCACCACGTCTAAATGAAATAATTAATTAAAAAAGATTATTTTAATGAAAATTATACCCTAATGTTCTACAAATAAGATTCCGTTGTTGAGCTTGTTGACGAACAAATATTCTTTCATGACAAAATAATGATGATGGAAACTCAATTTCAGCATTTGTTTTATTTTCATTCATGTAATTGTCAAGCATTTGACAAATTACTTGTCGAACTGGATTTGATATATTTAAATTCTATATACAAAAAAAAAATAAAATTAATAATAAATACAATAATATGTAGTAATAGAAATACTTACACATCCATTAGGCATTTCTGAATCAGATTCATCATCACTTAAATAATCAATCACAGAATCTATATTCATATTTGCCATTCGATAAGCTATACTTGGTGAAAACTAATAAAATAATTATTTAGTTTACATATCAGAGAAAACTAATTTTATTAACACAGAAGACAAAAAAAATAATGATATAAATCTCGGATGTTGAGATAAGTTTTCAAAATTCTCTTATACAGTTATTTGATGTACACGTGTTATTTATGTTCGAATAATTGAAGAAAATAGAGTACGAGAATGAGTAAACTATTCATGACTCATTGTCAGCAAAATAAAAGCAGTACGAATTAGGTGTAGGACAGTTCCATATTAGTTCCGTTCTTGGGAACTGTATCAACAATTCTTCGAATAGAACTGAACTGTGCCAACAGTTCTTTGAAAGGAACTGAACTGTATCAACAGTTCTTTCAGAGGAACTGGCCGGTTTCAAATTTGTTTTTATTTCCGAAAAACTAGTTTTCAGACAGTTCAGTTCAGTTCCTTTCAGAAGAACTGAACTGGTAGTTCTTTTGACCAGTTCATCCAAACTTGGAACTACGAACTGTCCTACCCCTAGTACGAATATGATGTTTAAACAGTACGAAATAATATTTCAATCTAAGATCTATTCAAAACGTGTTAAATTCAAGGAATAAAAAATACATGATGTGTTACTCTTTCAACAACAAAGATTTATATCATTACTTTTGTTAGATATTTAAACTAAAGCAAAAAAAAAGCGTACTTGCTCATCATCTATACCAACTGAATTTGTATCATAATCATTTGTATTTGATCTAGTTGAATGTTGCTTTCGATGATATTGTTGATGTTGTCTCATATCTACAATAATAATAACAATCTATCCATAATGTGTTACAAAATATACATTTATTTATTTCTATAGAAAAAAAATTTCATCTGACGTTTTATTTAACAATAAGAAGAAAAAAAGAATAGAGGATTTATTCTGACGAAGTTATTTTGTTCATTTGAAATGCATCTGTAACATACATTGAGATTTCATCTTCAATTGCTCTCTAGAAAAGAATATTATTTTTAGTAAATAAATATATTTCATTTATCTTACAAGTTCATCTCGAACATTTTCAACTTTTAATGTTAAACTATCAATTGTCTAAATAAAAGAATAACGAAAAAATAAATAAGGACATAATATTTTCACTGAATTTACTGGTTCATCACATGGGATCCAATGATCAATTTTTTGTTTAAGTATTTCATATTCACATCGAGTATTGTCAACATTCTTTAAAAAACAAATCATTATCTTTATTAAATAAAACAAAAAACAATATACTTTTTGTAATTTTTCAATTTGTGTATGAGTAACAGATGGCTTCACATTAATATCAAATGATTGTAATTTATTTTCAACAAATTTCATTTCAGCCATTGCTGACATACGAGTTGATTCATAATCATCAAATTTTTCATTTTGATTATTTATTATCTTTTGTTGTTTTCTAAATTAATGTCAAGAATAAAATTTTTTGAAAAAATTATTTTTTATTTATTTTATTTACTCATTTAATATTTTAGTTAAATTACTCATTTCAATATAATTTTGTTGTATAGTTGGTAGAATAACATCAAATGTATCTAAACGATTTTGTGTTGTATAATAAATATTTTGTAATTTACGTAATTTAGTTAAAAATATTTCTCCATTATCAATTTGTGATGAATTAATTTCAAGTAATCGTCCGAGATTATTAATTAATTGAAGATTAGAAATTAATTGATCAGAATTAAATATTGGAGATTCAGATGAAGACATCTAAAGATTAGAAGATATTTTTCCTTCTTATTTTTTTTTTATTATTTGAAATTAAAACAAACAAAAAAACAATTGCTTCTTTTTTTTAAATATTTTACTAAATATCAATAGATATAGACAAAAAACCAAATCAAATTCACATAATTAAAGATTGTATAACATGAGATTCTATATTTAGAAAAAAAAAATCAATTGTATCTGAACGTTAATACTCCAAAATAGATATCTTGAAGAATATCTAGGTGTATGTTCCATTTGCCAAAAAGCGTAATACGTCGACAAGAAGATATGGTCTAAAATAAACAAAAATAATTATATATATATATATAAGGAAAAATGGATAGTTCGATGGGATTTACTCAGATCTTTTCACATATTTTAAGTCTTTTTAAAATGATAAACATATAATCATTATGTATGTTATAGATTTTATGTTAAATGTTGTCACTTCATAAAAGAAAAAGATTATTTATAGTATTAACGTTTCAACTATATTACATTAACCCAGTACAAGAGGAGTATTTCGATAATCTATCTTTATCAGACAAGGCAATTATAGAATCATTCTAATTGTTATTTTACAATAGAGTTAAACTGTTTCTTATCAGATATTGACTTACTGCGTCCGTTCTAATTGTTTCCATTGTTCTGTTGCAAATACTTCTTTACTGTATGTTTTAATAAATAAAAGTAAATTATCTTTAAGTAATTTTGAATTATAAATATTTGCTCTTATAAGCATTTCAGCTGCTGTTTCATATGCAAATGTATCAATTAATGATTGTATACATAAATTTTTTAAATCTTCAATAGCATATTTATCTGCAGCATATAAAAGATCTAATGCATTTATATCTAAATGTTTAATTTCATTGTAATAAATAAAACGAAGCATTTCTTCACATATATCATCGGATATATCATTTATTTCAATAATATTTAAACGTGTTTCAATCATATCCGATAAAAACATTCGCTCAAAAACTTCACTTGCTAATGAAAGTATACAACGATGAACATTAAATTCTTTTAATCCAGCTTTAATTTTAACATCAGAAAATTTTCCTGTATGAAATAATTCTTTTGTTATTGATGAATTTGTTTTTGAATTATTGAAAAATAAATTTTCATCTAACATATTTAAACATAATTTTGAATTATCTTGTTGTCCATAAAGTACAATTCGTGCAAAAAAAACCAAACATGGACTAGAATTATATTGTTGTGTACAATCACTTAATTCTTTGCTTGTAAATGGATCAAATGTATATTCATCAATTGGATCAAGTATATCACTCATTTTAAGTAAACGTGTAGAAAAATTTGCTCGAACAAAAAATTCGATACGAAATTTATATGGAATATGTTTTTTAATACGTAAGGTTAAATGATATAACATTAAAATCATATTTTGTTCACGTTCAAGTAATAAAGATAATTGAAAACAATTATTTAAATGAACATAATGTCGATCTAATTTATGTTCAAATGTAAATATTGAGCTTTCAAGACATTCATCTTCATAACATAATTTTGTCTTCGTATTAAAATCATCAATAACCCATTGATAAGTAAATGATGGTTCATCAATACTTGTACTTCCATTTCGTACTTTAATTAAACGTAAATCATCGCAACCTGATGCATCACACATTGGTCGTATTTGTAATGTTATTGTTAATGATGGACATGATAATAAACGATCACGTGATGATGATATATATGATTTTAAAAAATTTGATATGACATAATTACCTAAAAAATATCACTTGGAAATATATATATTCAATGCTAATTATTTACGTTTTATATCAAATGATTCACTCGGATCACAATAGAAACTAGCATTTGACCATGTATATTTATAAATTTCATCTCCATTATATTCACATGTAACTACAACTTCTGCTTTAATAGTTCGTAATTTTGGCTATGAAAAAGAAAAATATTATAATTATTATTTAGATTTTTAAATAGAATTTCATACTTTAATCATAAATACATAAAATTTAACAAAAATACTGTTTCGTTCACAATAGGATGGATAAAGACGCATAATCCAACTATTAAAAAAAGATAAAATCTATTATATAGATTAATTATCGTTTACCTTGTTGAGCAATTTGTACATGGAAATAATTCACTTGTATATTCATCTCCATCTCTACTGTGTTGAACATTTTTAATTAGCCAATTATGTTTAATTTCTACTAATGGTTCAGCAATAGAAGCTTGTTGTGAAGGTCGTAATGGTTGTAAATTATTACTAGTATCAGTTGCTATTGTTGATGATCCAGATGACATCTTTTTAGTTTTTTCTTATGTCATTTGAAAAATGATTTTAATTGAACAAAACAAAAATAGATTAAACTATTTTTTTCTATCTGTCTGCCAATGATTGTTCCTAGAGACGTGTTTTTTTTTGTTTCTATTTTAATCTTTAAAAGGAAATTATTCTCGATTGGTTCAATAAAAAAACCAATAAGAATCTGTTTTTTAACCTTTCTCACAGCTGATATTTAACTAATGATTGGTTAAAATAATTCAATATATAATTGTCAAATTTTCTTAAAGAAAGAAAAACAAACTACATATATATATAGAAAACATACACACATTTGTTTTTCATTTCTATTCTTTATTCAGTCGTCTATTGATATTAAAATGCCAGTACAACGTGGTCTTGCACAAGAATGTCAGCAACATTTTCAAACATCTAATCTCTATGAGATTTTCTCTCTTCATCGAACAGCAACTGATGCTCAAGGTATGGTTGGATTAGTCAGATCGAGAAGATTATCTTTTGATGTATGAATAAATTATAAAAATACGAGGGAATCACTGTTTTTTATATGAAAATGAATAGTAATTGAAACTGAATATACAAAAATAGATTTTTTTATTTTTTAGTAAAAAAAGCTTATCGACAATTAGCACTTCGTTATCATCCAGATCGAACAGATATTGATCAAAAAGAAGAAGCTAAAACCAAATTTCAAATCATTGGAAAAGTTTATGCAATTCTTTCCGATGAAGAAAAACGTAAAATCTATGATGATACCGGTACGATAAAAATGAAATTTTTATTATATTTCGAAATATATATATCTTTTAGGTGCCATGGATGATGATGATTTAACGATGGGTGTTAATGATTGGTATGATTATTGTAAAAAAATGTTTCGAAAAGTAACAAAAAATGATCTTGTAGAATTTGAAAATAAATATAAAGGTACAAAAAAACAAAATGATGTAATATATATTAATATTATATTTACATTTCAGGTTCTGATGAAGAAAAAAATGATTTAAAACGAATCTATGTTGATGTATTGGGTGATATGGATAAAATATTTGAAAGACATCTTTTAACTTGTCTTGAAGATGAAGATCGTTTACGTTCAATGATTGATCAAATGATTGAAGATAAAGAAGTACCACCATTTGATGCATATACAAAAGAAACAAAAGCTAAACGAAACAAACGACATAAAAAAGTAATACAGAAAAAAAATAATCTGAATATAATGAATATTATTTTTTTTCTTCTTAATAGTTAACAAAAGAAGCAGCAGAAGCTGAAAAATTAATGAAAGAACTTAATATTGGTAATGATAATGCTAGTCTTGAACGTGCTATACAAATGCGTCAACAACAACGTGCTGGTTCAAGTTTTTATGATCAACTATTAGAAAAATATGGTTCAAAAACAACCAATGGAAATAAAAAACGTGCATCAAGTTCATTAAATAATAATAAATCGAAAAAAACTTCTGTTAATAATCATGGTAAACGTGCAGCTAAAACTGATGATGAAGATGAAGGAGAAGAAGATGATGATAATGATGATGACGAAGGTAGTAATACTAGTGAAACATTAACCGATGACGAAGATGAAAAACAACCAAAACGACGAACATTAACAAAAAAACATGGCACAACTATGAAAAAAACTCGACGTACTGCAGTTGGCAATAAAAAACGCAAGATATCACATTAGGACAAAAATTTATTTAGGTTTATTTATGAAACAAAACAAAAAAAGGAAATGAAACAATCAATAGATCTTATATTTACTGTTGTCAGATGAACAAAAAAAAACAAATTAAGAATTCGAATATTTTTTTTTCTTCTTTTTCTTTATGTATACTCTTTATTCATGAATAAATAGTTCTAAGTAAAAAAAAACAAATATTCTTTTCAATTTGGATCTTGTGTAAGATTTAAACGTCTAACTATATCATCAGCTTCAAATCGATTGACTGCTATTAAATATGTAATTTCTTTTGTATTTTCATTAAGACATGCGACATAAAGATGACCAATTGTCGGAATTTGTACTTGAGCTTTGCGTATTCCACGATATATATCATTTGTTGCTGATACAATACCTTCTCCTAACTATTAGGAAAACAAAATTTTTATAATGAAAATTTTGAAAAACTATTTACTTGTGAATATTCAAAATCAATCATAGTATCATAGACACGACCACGTAATGTTCGCATATCTTTATGATCAAATTGGATTGTATAATGATCTTTAGGTGGCATTGTTACCGATGATATACCACGTTGAACTTTGGTTATTTTACTCATAAATGCAATTGATGATTTAGGAATTTGTTCAAGTGCTTTATCCTTGCCGTGTAGTACCATATTATCGCTGCTTGATCAGTATAATAAGAGTGCAACCAAGAATGTTCTATTTCTTGTTTTACAATAAGTGTGTACACACACGCACATATATATATATATATATATAGACCTGCTTTTCTCTCTTTTTTTATCTGACATTTCATCAAAATATCTTATATTTGATAGATCATATACTTCAAATGATATTATTGTCATAAAATATCTTTTCCTATATATGAATATATAGAATTTGATGGATGAGGTAACAAGACATTATTGGTCGTGTTATGTAGAGAAATAAATAGATTGATTGCTATATTGAATCCAGTTAATATAACAAGATTTTGACGAATAATAGCATATAAAGAATGTAGAAATTCTTTCTTTGTATATATTTTATTATTCAATCAAAAATAATCTTTGAAGTAGAGTAAATCAAAAGAAGAAGAAAAAAAATCGATAGGAACGCTAAAACTATACTTATCTCAAGATGAACTTGAACAAATGACTAAGTGAAAAGAATTAAATTGATTGATTATCATATGTAATGTTCGTGTGGGAGTAGAAATCTACTGGCATATGAAAAATAGAACTTCAATCAAATGATCAGTTATTCTTTCATAGAAAAAAAAAAGGTTTGGCAATTAATGATAGAGCAAGATTTGTTTTTTGGATACACGACAATGCAAGTCTATAATCAGGTTTTGTGTATGACCAATTTTACTTCTTCCCACTCTCTTTTTTTTGACATCACGCAACATATTCTCTCTTCAACAAATATGCACGAATTGTAAGTGATCTGAGCAAACAATGAGTAGCTTGTTACTCAGTGTTCTACTCATCATTACATATTATAGTTCTTGTCAATGTTCCATGCATGTATGAGAAACAAAACTTAGTTATTATTAATATTAGTATCATATTTCTTTAGTAAACATAGACATATGTCTGAAAGTTCTCTATTAATTAGAAATATATTTAACAATTAATATTGATTTTGTTAATTGTTAAATATCCCTCGTAGATATTCTTTTAATATTTCGTAGAAATAAAAATATCTATAATAGTCGTTTCGAATAGCTATTGAAAGAAGAAAATTAATTGGAATAGTTGTCGAATTGAACATCTATATTCATAAGACTTTTAAACGTGTAAGTTAATAAAAATATATGAGGAAGAGAGAAATAATAGGGTAGTCCATTAATTTGTATAACTAACATGCACGCACAGCTGTCGTCCGTTTATCTCTTCGACAAAAAAAAAAGAAAATGTCAATATACTTGTATTTTTTTCTTCTCTTCTCATTTATTTTTACTCATATGTATCTCTAAAAAAAAAAGAAAAGTGAAAAAGAAGGCGAACGAAAAATCACATACCGTTAACACGTGTTCGCGTATTTCATGTAAGTAAATATTACATCGTTACTGACGATGTAAATTTATAGTAGAACACTACGAAGAAGATTTTTTTTGTTAAGAATTCTTTTCCTTTCAGATTATTTCTGCAAAGTTGATCAATTATGTCTCATGTAAGTCTTTATTGGTTATAGTAGATTTTTTTACTATAATTATTTAATAGAATGTAAAATTGCGAAAATTAACTTCCAGTCAAATAAAAGGTGTGTATAGTGAGAATTCAATTGTAATATTTCGATTTACATTGTTTTTGTTTTTAGAACTTCGACAAGCATTTGATTTGTTTGATACAGATAATAGTGGTGGTATCTCAGTAGTGGAATTAAAACAAGCATTAGGTGCATTGGGTGTTAAAGTAACTGATCAAGAAGCACGTCAGATGTTTTCAGCAATTGATATAGATAGTAAAATAAATATTTAATTAATGAATAATAATAATTGGCTTTGTTTTTATTTTAGAAAATGGTTTGTGACAAAAAAAAATGAGATTTAGTTTTCATTTGTTTTTGTTCGTTTATCTAGGTCGAATTGAATTTGAAGAATTCGCTGATGTTGTTGCTGATTCTTATTTTAAAAAATTTTCACGTGCAGAAATACTCGAAGCATTTCAACGTTTTGATCATAATCATGATGGTTATATTGAAGTGGATGAATTAAAAAGTATTTTAGCTAGACTTGGAAGAAATTTTTCAAATGACGAAGTTAATAGAATATTTCATTATATGAATAAAAATAAATCATTTATTTTTTGTTTAGGTTCGTCGTATGATTGCACAAGTTGATCGAGATGGTAATGGAAAAATATCTATTGAAGGTATATTATTCAGATAGTTAACTGTCCTATATAAATTCCTTTTTTTTCTATAGAATTTGCTGCACTTGTTGAAAACCATTGAACATAAAAAGAACTTATGCATTTCTTTTTTTTTTGGGTAGTTTTATTGATTGATTAGATTTAACCAGTATTATGGAAAGCAAAGAATTGCAAACAATTTTGTTTTTTTTTCGTCCATTTTTGTATGTTGTATGTGCATTTGTATAAATTTTTCCTATTTTTTTTTGACTGATTTGTAATCCGGTCATTTCGTTTTTCCTTTATTGATATTCTCCAATTTTCTTTTCTTTTTTCTGTACTCATAAATAAAACAGAAGAAGAAAAAAAATGTGTAAAAAAAACTACGATGGATTGAAAGCAAATGTACGCTCAAAAAACGCTTTCGTTACTTGGAGGAAAAGGGAAGAAAAGAATGACGTGTATGCACATATATAAAAGTTTTCTTTTCCTTGTCAAAGAACGAGGTCGACAATGTAAAGAGAATAGCGTGTGTAACTCATTCTCGTCATCTTTTTTCCGTCTGCCAAATACAATCGTTCTCATATCGCACTGTTATCGTGCTGGTCGAGCCAGAAGAAAATATTTGACTTCTCTCTCTCTCTTTCTGTCTCTCTCTCTCTCCTCCCACATTCTGTATATATTTAGTCATCACTGCATCTCCTCTATTCTCTTTTTCATTCGTTGCGTTACCCATGATGGCAACCAACTATAAAATAATAACAATAAACAGTAAGTAGATCTATCATCAAATAAATATTATTAGATTTTACTAGAATAAGAAGAAAAAAAAAGCAAAAAAGAAGAAGAGAAAGAACGACGAAACGAGTGAATCTTTAACGTCATTGCAGTTCGAAGGTGAAGTGAACTGGTATACGTAATAATCAAAAGAAAAAAACGTATATATATATATATATATACATACATACATATACACAAAGATTGAAAAAGAAACGACAATTACGAACGCAAAAGATAAAGAAAAAAAACGACGTAAGATGAAGTTTCAACGTCGTATTCTTCCTCCACATTCACCAACTTATCTCGAAATGGAAGAATACACTACACCATCATCTTCAAGACACTCAAGTAAATATACTTTTTTTCTAAAATAAAAATATCATGCTAATAATTTCCTGTTTTTTTCTAATTTTTTTAAAACTATAGTATCAATAACCGGATCTACAAGTGATTTAAGTGAATTAGGAAGTGTTTACTGTTTATCAACTATTATTAAACAAAGGTCTGATTCTTTAACAAATCTATTTCATATGTCAGAAGATAGTACATCATTATCAAATTTAAGTATTGCATCATATTCTTTATCCCAACATTCTTGTGAAAATGGTTCTTATACAAATCCAACAACATATTCATTAATATCACCGGTTACTGTCTCATCATCACCACAACAACAACAACAGCAACAGCAACAATTACAAACATCTACTAATAATGGATCTGATAAAATTTCTCGTAAACAATATAGTTCATCTTATCGAAGTTTAACTGAAGAACAAACTTCTCCAATAAATTATCGTAAAGCAAATGTGAATAATCCTAATTCACGTCGTAGTGGTGATTCTACACGTCATTATTATTTTTGTTCAACAAATCTAAGTGGTAGTTCATCAACAACAAGTAGTCAAAAAAGTTTTCCAATCAAAACAGCTGAAACTGTTTTAAATACAATTGGAATAAATACATCAAATAATGATTTAACTGATAAATGTGGTTTAATTGCAAATGATGGAAATGATATTGAAAATAATGATGATGATAATAATAATATTACAAAATCAAATCAACATGATGATACACAAAGTTTTTGTGATAGTCATTATGTGGATAGTTCAGATGAAAATGAATATGATATGATATCATCAAGAAATTCATCAACGAATCCAACACAAACTGGACGAGGTTTAAGAAAAACAGTTTTAAATAATGTTGATCGTCTATTAAATTCTGGTAATAAACAAATAAAATATTAGATATTAAAACAAGAATATAATTTAACTGTGATTTTTTTCATGCGTTTTTTCTCTCTCTTTTTCTCTCTTTGTTTATTTGTTATATAATATCACAGAAAGCATTGTGCAACTATTTGTATAATATCGTTTTGTTGTTTCGAATTAAAATTTATTGACATTACGACGAAATGATAAGATAACTATTTAAAAACTATCTTTTGTTTTTTAATTTCTGTTTAGTCAGTTTATTCAAGATATGACAACGAATATACCTGTGCAATCAACTAATGTGTCAGATTTATCATATATATCGAAACCAATTGGTGATTTATTTGGAGAATTACCAGTGAATCCAGATAAATATACTCGATGTTTATTATCGGAAGATCAAGTGGGATTTTATAAAGCAAATGGATATTTAACTCAAGTACGTGTTCTCACCGATGAACAATGCAATCGTATTTTAGATGAATATCAACGATTTCTTTTATGGAATAATAATAAAGAAAATTCTAGTGGAAAAAATGATGCACATCTTTTAGATTTTCCTGAAAAAGAGTTTTTATATGAATATCATTCAAATCAAAGTGAAGATCCAAATCAAGTTGTTACACATATGTTAGGACATTGGAGAGTATCACCATTATTTCATGATTTATTATTTATGCCAACAATTACTGTACCAACATCACAATTACTTGCTGCTCTTCATCCATCACAACAAACATTAATGCCAGTTCAATTCTGGCATGATCAACTTTTTGCTAAACCAGCACATCAAGGTGGACAAGTTGCTTGGCATCAAGATTATTCATATTGGACACGTACAACACCAATGCAACATTTAACTGTACATATTGCATTAGATGATCAAACAGAAGAAAATGGAACAGTACATTATGTTCCAGGTTCTCATCGTTGGTATCGCAATCATGATGGAAAAGAAGGTCCATTACCAATAACAGATATTGATTTTAAAGATATGGATAGTATTAAAAAAGTTTTAACTGAAGAAGAAATTCAACAATTTCAACCATTACCAAGTTTACTTAAAAAAGGTCATGCATCATTTCATCATCCACTTACTGTTCATGGTTCATATCCAAATCGAACATCAGAACCACGTCGTTCAGCTGTATTAAATTATTTTGCAGAAGGTACACGAAGTGATACCGATGAACCACTTTTAAATGGTATACCAGCAATAGCTCGTGGTGAACTTTTAAATAGTCGTTTCTTTCCGTTAGTCTTTGATCCTAAATGGATTTGAACATTTGCTCATACAACGAACTTATTTTTTTTTGGCATGATAACCTAGCATTTGTTTTTCTTTTCACATTTTATCAATATATTATTTACAGGTATATTTTAAATCTACAAGCTATTATAAAATGACAATGTAGATTTATTTAAATAAATATCTTTCAGAATGAATGAGGGTTATTCTATTACCAGCTGTTAATTGTTTATTCTTTTCAACACTTGTCATTGAAAATATTTATTTAGCTGGTGGATTTGTTTAACTTATTGGAGAACGAAACAAAAAGTAACGTTAACACTGAATACTTTGTTATTAAAGATGATATTGATAGTAAAAGAAAACAGAAATGTATTAATCCTATACAAGAATTATTTACTGATATTCAATTGAAGGTCTATATAAAATCAATCGACAACATCTAATAAATTTATTGCATATTGTCTCCATTCGAAATCAAGCGCGTAATTCTGTAATAATTAAATAAACGAATAGATCTAACTAGAAAATCTCGTGTTAATTTTATGTTCTATATTTTTAAATTAAAGACTGGAAATGAATAAGTTCAGACACGAACTATTCGAAGATGTAATCAGGAAGTAGTTCTTTGTTTGATTATAGATATAAAAATCTAATGTCTTATTATCTAGGAATTTTTCTTATGATTAGATTTCTATATTTAACGAGAAGATCCTTATTCTTTTTGTTCTTAACATGGTCATTGAAAAAGTTTCGAAATCATTAATTGTGTCTTTGTTCTACAGGCTTCCTTTCAATAGACTTTCGTTCATAACAAATTTAACCGAGATAATTGTATTTGTTTGTTTATTCAAAATGATTTTTATTCATGTGCTTTTCTGATTGCATCAAGGTCAGACATTTTTATAGAATATTCAATTTTTATAAATTGATATACCAGGTCATAGACATGACGCAGTTAAAATCTATGACAACTGCGTCATTGGCAATTAATTCCACTCTGTCAATACTATTGATATTGCTAACAACAAGTTTCTTTTATTTATAATCAAATGTGTGGAATAATTGCTTCTAATGGATTGATCATATTCGATTATTCGAAATTGCAATTTTCTTTAATAGAAACATACAGTGCATGACATGTCTCTCTCTCTCTCTCATATGTTTCGTCTATAGACAATTGTTGTTTTTTTATGAAATTTATTTTAACAAGAAAAATTGTTTAAAAAAAACATTGCCACAAAAAAATGTTTGAATACTAGTAAAACTAAACTAATACAAATTAAATTAATAAGATGTATTGAAATAAATGCTGAC